TAACTTAGAGACGCCTCACTCAAATCAAGAAATATTTTACCAATCAACTATTTACTTTATGCAGAGCCGGTACTGAATGTATTGTCAAAGGGTTCATGTGCACTTTAAGAGATCAAGAAAGCGAAAAAAAAGAGAAAGTAATCGATGTCGATATGGGAACTTTAACGCCCTTAGTTTTTGGTACAAATGTAGGGATGGGGGCAGAATGCCAGATTATTCTAAAGCACCTTGCTGAGAAGTTAACCAAGAAGACAGGGGACACGTATGCAAGAACTATAACATGAATTAGAACTCGATTATCCGGCTTTTGAATTAATTAAGTCAGTACACACGTGTGTCAGGGAGACAAGAACCCCTTTTTATAAGGACAATGAATTCTTGAATGACTTTAACCTTAACGCCAATGTAGCGGAAATTTAGAAATATTTAGATTTTATAAATGTATAGTTTTAATATAGTATTATATCAGTGTGAAGAGCGGGACTCGTGTTTTGAGCTATTAATTTATTTTGCAAATATGTCTTCATCGATAAATAAGTAATTTGTTCATATATTTGTTATTTTATATTCATAATCTCTTTTTTATTGTTTGATTATTATTATTACTGTTGTTTTTTGAAAGTATTTTTGAATAAATTATTATTATACTGGTTTGGGGTATATTAAGACATGACGATGTTTACCTTAAAATGTCCAGAGGGCTTTTCTGCTCACGACCATATATGGCTTTCTTAATCTTATCCAAATATTATAAATATTTTATAAACTTTCTATATACGGTGGCCCACAAGTCTCACGGCAAAACAAAAACTCACGGCAAAACAAACTAAACTTAATCGATAACAATCGATACCGCCGATTTGATTGATATCGATTGTATCTATCAATCGTTAAAAATCGAACTCACACTAAACTTTTTTATCGATTTTTATCGATTGATTGATTATATACATATCGATTTTTTTCGATTTATGTTCTTGAACAATTTCTATCGATGATCGATCGTACGAGGGTCGTGTGGCTACGGATTTACACCACCGGCAATTACTCTTTCGTACCCAAGGCTTGACACAAACTAGGAGTTTGTTATAGTGATCAGTGAACAGACAGCAAAAGTACTTGGATAATTAGCTGCCTGATCTACATATAATTACTTGTGAATTAATAGTTATAAAATCTATTGCACTATCATCGATATTTTCGAATACTTTCCGTGAAATTATTACACATTTAAGCTCGATATCCGTGAAATAAAGCCGTGAATAAAAACCATATCAGTGAAGTGATACGATAGCTTCACGGTAAGCTATAGAATCTAGCGATAGTATTAGTCAAGAGTGACGAGATAAATTTCTATTTAGTGTTTATTTCTATCAAATTCAAGATGAATTTTGTGCTTCTTACATTTTTAATTAAGCTTTAATATCTTGAATGTTATTGAATTGGAAACGTATAATTCTTTAACATTTTGAAATGGCGTAAGTCGGTTAAGGATATTTAAGACAATAAAACATTTTGTGTGTGTTATATATCGAGCCTAAATGTGTATGAAACAAATTATACGATTGTACTCATTATTGGATCGAATTAAAGCTGTCAA